ACCTACTAACCTGCTTCTCCACTGCTGTTCTTTCCCCCATCCCTCCACATTTCTCTACCCCCCCCCCCAAAAAAAGCTAGACAAGATCTTTAAACACCAAGGATAAGGAATGTCTGCTCTGTTCTCCCAGTACAAAAAACAATGTCTGTCTCATAGTAGGCACTCAATGTGTGCTGCGTGGAAGAATGATCAGTCATCTCCCCATTCGTTCATAGGCAGTTTCCCCTCATGTAGAACAGAATCCAAACTTCGTACATTGCCTTCCATCATCAGGCTCCCATCACCTCACATCCCTGCTATGTTCCAGACTCTCTGGCACTGACATTCCTCCAACTCCCCAAAGTCTGGTCATGGAACTGTTTCTGTACCCCCTCAGCCCAAACACTCCTCCCCCCTTGTCTGGCTGCTTCTCATCATTCAGGTCTCAGTACTGTTACCTTCTCCCACAGGCCTTCCCTGGCCAGCCTACTCAGAGCAGACCTCTCTCCACACCCTCTTCCACCTCACCCTACTTCCTTTTCTTTGTCATACTTACCACTAGCTGAATTATCTTGTTGTTAATTTACAGAATGTAAACTGTTTATCTCCACTAGAATGTAAACTTCCGCAAACCTGGGACCCTATCTTCCTTGTTCAGTGATGTATCCTTAGAGTCCAGTACAATGCCTATGACTCACAAACATTTACCAAGTGCTTATGTGCCAAGCACTATGCTAGGTAACAACAATGGATTTTTTTAATTAAAGAAAAATAGAAAGTAGAAGTAAAATATTAGCATAAAGAACAATTTGATGTCCTTATGTCAATCATTCTCATTCTTAAAATAAATGACCTTATACAATAAATTCCATTTTTTTAGAATATTATTTTGCCAATGTAAAATATGAATATCCTTAAAGTAGTCACAATAATTAGTGTCTCATTGTAATTCTAGAAATTATGTAGATGACCATATCCTTCATTTTTTAAAAAAGATTTTATTTATTTACTTTTAGAGAGAGGGGAAGGGAGGGAGGAAAAAAGGGAGAGAATCAGCAATGTTCAAGAGACACACCAACGGGCTGCCCCACCACCCACCACAGTATATCCCCAATCGGGAACCCGCCCCAGCCCAGGCAAGTGCCCCAACCAGGAATCAAACCAGCAACCCCTCAGCTCACAGGCTAATATTCAATCCACTGAGCCACACCAGCCAGGGCACATTCTTCATTTTTTAATGCACAATTTGACAAAAGTAATTAGGGTATCACTCAATAAAATACTACCTAGGAACCTTCACATTATCATCTTTTTCTCAGAGTATACATACAACACATTTCATCCTATCAGAAAAACTACAACTCTGTAAAGCCTTTCTTTCTCAACATACAGAAATATTCACATCACAACAAAAGAGACTGTCAACTCACCATTTATTGCCTGGACTCATTTTACCAGCTTCATTCAGGCTAAGAAGTGATAGTTTCAGTAACTAATTAAGTTCATTTCACAAAAAAGTCATCACTAAAGTTGAGACTGACCCCTCACCCACCAATGCCTATTATAAAAGAACATGTCCAGTTGAGTTTAGGAAAAAGAGTTATGTTTCATTGTTACCATAGTACTTTTAGGCCCACCTAATTAGAACTGCAGCAGAAAATTTCAGTATTTGATGTAATCGCACCAGTTACCACCACTATCATTATGACATCACCATTACCTTATTGCAATGCATCAACTAGAAAGAGGTAGATTTAAAAGCTCAAGGCACTGAACAAGTAACATTTCTTCAGATCACGTAAGTGTTTTCTGTAACATTTTACTTTTAGCGCACTTTAAACTGGCATATCCTACCTCCAAATATTTTTAGGTTGAATATACAAATATTTTTAAAGTATCATTTATAAAAAGGAACAAATTCAGTACAATTAAGTATAAGGACTCGAAATATCACTATATCATACCAGACTTTTAACCCCTAAAGGAAATATATCCATCATTCATCCAAATTTGAAATCATTATACATCTTGAGTAATAAGGTATTCTCAAACACACAACCAAATGCCTAAAAGACATACCACGATTTCTATTTAAAATTAGCTTTCTAATTACCTTGCCAACCCAACAGAAAAAATAAGTGTGGGGGGATTCACAGAAATCAGAAAATATTTACCTTATTCTCACTTGTAATAGTTACTCAATAAAGTTGAAAAATTGTTGATAAAGCCAAAACAAAATTAAATCCTAAAGCAAAGGATAGTATTTTCCAAACCACACATTGTTATTACTGCCGTTTCTTTAAAAAGAAAATTTCCTCCAGTTTTTTAGAACACTGGTTCTGTATTACCTTTGGTTTTCCCTTTAGTCTAGTTAAGTATCTGTATAAACAAACCAGTTTTCGGACACCTAGAATTAACCCACATATTGAGATAAACTCTTAAATATCAGAATTATTTACTTGTCTATCTTCACACTGGCCCTCAAAGGACCAAAATGATTACTGATAAATCCAATTAGAATACTCGTTCCCTGTTTTCAGAAAAGCTCTAAAATCACTCAAGTTAGTCAAAAGATATACTGAACAGTATTTTGAATTTTCTTCAAATTATCAGAAAGGAAAAAATCCCTACATGAATCAATCAGAGGTCATTATCTTGACCTTCACCACCTGCTCACTTGCTAAAAAAAAACCACACAAAGTTTTTCATGTAATGTATAATTTTTAAATGAAATAAGAATAATTTTAAATATTTATTTACTCAAGAGAATAAAAGAACATAAATAATTTCATCACTATAACTATAAAAGTAATCAATTTTCAGCATACAACTGAAAAATATTTTATTGGAAAGGCATGTCCTGACTTACCAACAGTTTTTCACTATTAAAGCTAAGATAAAATATATGCTTTGTAAAGAAATCTGTCCAAATTCCTTAAATTTGAGTAGTATTTATAAAGTGTCTTCTTCCACTATATTCTTTGCCACAGCAAAGGTTTAGAGACTGCACTATAGCCTCAAAGCTTCAGTTACTTATGTCTGAGCATTCTGATGTTTTCTATCTCATACATCTAACAATGAAAAAGTGGATACAATTTTTGGATAATATTATTCCTCCAAACCTGCTAATATTACAAATTTTAAGTGCTTAAGTTACAAAGCCATTACAGATGGCTTTTGATATGCACAGATAATTGAAACCACTCCCTCTAGCTGCTTGGGGATAAAGAAATGTCTTCTCACTCACTGAACTTATTTTTTTTATCGTTTTTCAATTACAGTTGTCCCAATTCTCCCACTCCAGCCCAGCACCCCCCGCAACCCCTTGCTCTCCCCTGCCCAGCCCACTCCCCTCCCACAGTCAATCCCCACCCAGTTGTCCTTGTCCATGGGTCCTTTATACATGTTCCTTGGCTTAAGCATCAGAAACCTCTCAACTACTGTCTCCTCTTCTTAGGACAAATACTACACACTTTAGAGAAAATAATTCCCTACTTATATTTTTTACTATTATTTCTAAAAGTGTTGCATGATCCAATTTAACAAAATTATTTAACAAATCTAGCATGGTTTTGAAATATATATATATATATATATATCTAGATATAATACACAGTGTGGTGACTACAGTTAACAATACTGTATTGTAAGGTTGAAACTTGCTAAGAGGGCAGATCTTAAGTATTCTCACCACACACTTCATCCCACCCTACAAAAAGAAAACTGTGAGACAATGACTATGTTAACTAATATGATTCTGGAGATCATTTCACAATGTACACATCTGAAAACATCAACTTGTACACCTTCAATATATATTATACACACACAATTTCTATTTGTTATGCAACTGCATTATCTGACATTGTAATTAGCAATCTGAGTTTATATCTGATAGTTTTTAAATAGCAGAAAGTACTACCCATAAAAAAAAAGAAAAAAAAACACTTCCAAATGCTGCTTCCGCTTTTGTTTTGAAAATAGCTTTGAAGAATGTATACAAAAAAAGTCAGTTACACAAGTCGAGCCCAAACATCTTATGGAACAAGGTTACTCAATAGGAGTTCTAGAACCACCGAAAATAGTAGGAAAAAAAATTTATGTACACATAGCGTTTTTTCCTGAATAAAGGGTCCACATAACTTTCAGCTTCTAAAAACGTTCAAAATCCAATTAAAATTAAAGTGCCTGGAAGAACTGTCAACATCAAACAACTTGTCGCCAACTACCCTAGCCTTATTTTTCATCTCAAATTAGGGTAAGATTTATCCAAATTTGGTGGCTCCTACACAACTTCTGAGCGATGCAGGCATGAAATGGCTGTCGGACACAAACATCTCCCTTCTTACACCCAAGGTGGTAAACCCCAAAATTTTCCTGAAGGGGGAAGGGAGAGGCAAAAGGATCGCAAACGGGTTAACACCCTCGTTGTTCAAGGATCAACTGGCTCTCCATCCCCTAACTCCGAAGAGGGTTGCAGCGAGGTGGCCGGGTTTCAGTGGGGGGCTTAAGTCCCCTCAGGGTCACTTGCAGCGTTGGCATCACCAGCAGCCCCCTCCCGCCCCCCAATGCGCCAGAAAGCAGCGGCTGCAGGCGTGGGCACAGAATTCTGACCGCGGCCCACAGAGGCGCGCCCCAAGACGCGCCGCCGCCGCAGCACGGACGCAGCGACCTTCCCGCTCGGGCCCCCGAGAGCCGGGTTATCCACGTCCCCCACACACCGCACGAAGGAGAGACAGGCGGATGTACAACAAAGCCCAACTCGAAGAGGACCCCGAGAGCTTTAAGTTGGGGCTGGGGGGCCGCGATGTGGGCGGACAGGGCCGGGAACGTGGCGCGCCAGATGTCAGCCCGCGGAGTCCGGGTGTCGGCCGCCGAGAAGAAACGCTACGGGTGGTCGGTCGCGCGGCGGCGTCGGAGAGACTGCTAGGGGAAGGCAGGCCCGGGGAGCGGCGGCGGGGTCCGAAGCGCACAGGTCGGCCGCGACCCGGACCCAGCCCAGGGACCGTCCCGTTACTTACCCGCGGGGAAGCTGCGGACTCTGCCCGGGCTGTCCCGGCCGCCGGCCTCCGGGACCAGAAAGCGCCCCCACATCGCGGGCGAGGGTGCCGGGTAGACTGGGGACGCTCGATTCCCCACGTTAGTCCTCCCCCGCCTCCGCCTCCTGCTTCTACAGCGGCGGAAACTTGTGCGGAGCCTGGGCCGCGGCGGCACCGGCGTGAGGCGGGCTGGTTAACGGCTGCTCAGCGACGAGCGGAGAGCGCGGTGGCCAGATTCGCCGCGGCGGCGGAGGCAGCGGCGGCGGCGGCGGCTCCTGCCATAGCCGAGCCGGCTGGGCTTGAGGCCTGGGTAGGGGAAACGATGGCTCCGCGGTGGCGGCTGCTCGGTTCCCGGCTGAGCCTAGGCTCAGCGGCTCCGAGCGAAGCTCTACCGCAGCGGGGCGGGGCGGGGGCGGAGCCTGAGGGGCGTGGCCCGGGGCGCTTATATAAGGCGTGCGCGGCGCGGGAGGCGGGGATTGCGCACGGCTGGTGGAGTGTGCTCGCTTCGTTTTCCTGTGCCGGCGGCGAAAGGTTGGGTTGGACCTACTAGCTGCAACCTTCCTGCCTTCCCTGTGTCCGCGACCTGCGATATGAGAAGGCGGTTACGTGGCCTGGCACCCCATCTTCGAGTAACCTCCTCCCTTGGGTAGCCCCTGAGGCCCTGCAGGACACTTCTCGAGGGAGAACTGGAAGACCTGCCTTCGCAGCACTGCGGCTGAGATAAAGACTAATCTGGGAAAGGTTGAGGGACTCCCTGCCTGAGCTGGGATTGAGTTTAAAATCATCATGGTGCATTACATGAATAATGTTTATACATCACTGTGAGGGTTGAAAAGACGTTTTCTTCACCTTGCAAATTCATGGTAGGGGGAGACAGGTAACAAAATAGCTACAACATAGGGATATGCGCAGTTATAAGCAAAGACCCAAGGGTAGTTAGTACCGGAAGGTTCAACGAGGGGCGGGAAACTTTAATCTAGTAGCCCACTGTTTCCGACAAGCAACCAAAAGGGAGTCAAAACAGCACCAGGGTTTGTAATGGGAGAGTAACTGGCTTTACCACCCACTCACGCCTTCACGTTCTTCCTCCTCCTTGCCAGCTCCCACCCTTCAACTGAACCCAGATGCAGGAGCAGGTATCCTGAGAAGGGTGCAGCATTTTCCAGTCTTCTCATTGACAATATTATAATGAAACAATTAGATTCAAAATAGTTTATTTAATAAATTCTAGACGAACACTGTAGGAGGTGGACTATGCGCCTGTCAGATGAATCATAGGTAAGCCACAAAGCAAGCCATTTCACAGACTTTGAGTCCAGTGAGGTTTTTTTTCCTGTTTTGGAAGTTTGCTAACAAAGGCCTTATATTTGTCTTTAAACACCCTGTAATTGGGAAATATTGCTTCAAACTTTTAGAGGTTAAATTACATTTAGGTTAATAATCTACCATTTACACATTTGTGTTGTAATTTACCTAGTCGTAGGTTCATATTTAGTCTCCCTCTGGTAAATGTACACTTATTTCTCCAAATTATGAGCAGTTGTCCAAGGGTCAATTGTTTCTGAGAATAGAAAGTGACAAATATGAAGGAAGAATGTGATTGGTTTCTTTTCCTCATTTAAATGTTTGTTAGCTCATTAATATGGTACTTGAATAGTACAGATTCAAAAAGAATCCTAAAATGATAGATTTCTAAAAGAATTTACGGAAGCTATAGAGTTACATGGGTTTGAACTCTGCAGGTCCACTTATATTCGAACTTTTTTTAACAAATCATCTGTATTCCTGGGGTTTCCCACCTGCAAATTCAACCAACGGATGGGGAGCTCTGGCTGTATTAACTGTTGTATGCCATGTTACACAATATAAGAGTCTTGACCATCTGTGGATATTGGTATCCTCTGAGATCGTGGAAGGCATCCCAAGTGGATACAGAGAGACCAGTGGGAAGTCAAAGTTATACCTGGATTTTCTACTGCATGGAAGTTGGTTGCTTAAGGGTCAACTGCATGTTAAAGTATCCTTTTTTAATAATGTATAATTACCATAATCTCATATTACATAGAACATTTATTAAATACCAGACTTGTTTTATACAGTTCTGAGAAATATATGAACAGTTACATGTATAACTTAGTCCTTTGTGAGTTTGATAAATACTTATTTGTTATTGTAAAACTGCCAACTGCCACTCCATCTTAAGCAGTATTTTTTTAAACTTGTTTACTCTGGTTTTCTACAGGTTTTTATCAATGTGAAAGACATGCTACTACTACACACACACAGAAAGTTGAGACTATGTAAAATATTTCAATACCTATTACAGAGTAAAAGCAAATAGGGAAAACATGTTGTTATTTTTGCAGCTGGCACCAAAGATAAACATTTTTGTCATCCTATAATTAAACTGGGGACGAGAGATCTCTATCCTCCCAAATTTAACAATTAAAATAATTGAAATACTAAGTGAAAATATTATATATATGAAATAAACTGTAACCATCCATTTTTTAAACATATGGATTCTGAGTATACACTGAACTAATATTTTTTCACACATCCATAATACACCCAGTATCCATGGTTCTCAGAATAATTAAAATTTATCATAGTACAAGGCCCAGAGCCTAAGGACCACCTATTCTAGCAATTACTAAGCCTTATGTTGTAAACTGACATATTTTTGTTTTGTTGTAACAACAAAGACCATCTCACAAGCTAAGACATTTATTATTGAACTTCAGTATTTTGATAATTATTTTTATAAGCAGAGATAATACAAGCAATGAAAATAGTGACTATGTGTGTATATATATAAATTTGGTTGTTTACTTGAAATTTAGATAATGTTTTGTGAAGGAACTTTTAAAAAATATAAAATAGATCATAAAGAGAAAAATAGTACTAAAAACACTATTTTATATCAAACCATATTAAACTCTTATTTTTTAGCTTTTTTGAATAAATAATCTCTATTCAAAAGAGATTATTTTTAAATTAAAAATAAATGTTCCATTCATAAATCTTAAGTTTTTGGATATGAACCTCTGAACTAATTAAGCTGAATTTTCATGTATTTTCTTATATCAATGTATCATAACAACCACCAGAGAACTGAAGAGTGATATAACATTGGATAAAAGGAATATTTCAAAATTAGAAGAAATCTTATACATACTATGGGGTAACTTTATGAGAAGTTAACATTTACAAAAATACCAAAACCAATAAAATATAGCAAAATAAACCAGTAAAGATTAAAATAGTTTCCAAAGAACAATTGCCATATAGTAGAAACATTTGTAAATGAAGCCTAAAAATTCAAAGGAATGGATAATTCTAATGGATCAAGGAGGTAACAAGTACCATGACGTATAACCTCTTCCAAATTATAAAAATAACAAGTTTCTGAATGTATTATGGATTGTTGTAATCTCAAATAATCATTCTTAATAATGAAAAAAGAAAACTAAGAAACTATGTATTTTGATGATGGATTTGAAAATCTTAATTGAATTTCTAACAGATACATTCAACTCTACAAGGTGAATGAAAAACATGTAGATTACTTAACCTGTCTGTGACCCGATTTCCTCATTTGCAATTGGGGAATTATAATAGTAAATACTTCATAGGATTGTTGTGGTGATTAAATGAGTAGTCCTTAGAACAATGGAAGTGTACACCCTATATTGGTAATACAATCTAGAAATTGAGCTCTGTCATACATCACCAAGAAAAAACATCCATTGGTATACCCAGGTCAGTTATAGATGATGCTTTGTATACATGTATCAGAATGGGGTAAAGTACTTATTGACAACTTTTCCTGACCTTTTGGAATTACTAATTAGTACAGGGATTGTGGTGAAATGGTACATTCTTAAGAAATATTTACTAAATTCTTTGGGCCCAAGTTCATTGACACCTTCATTCTAGCCTGGGATTCCCTGAACTCCCCCTGTGGATGTCTGCTTAGCTACTGGATTTCCTGTCCTGCCCGGCACTACCAAATTAGAGGAAGGAAGATTAGGGAGAGGTGGGCAGGTGGCCAGACCAAGAGGGCAAGGTCACCTCATCTCAAGTCCCTGATTCTTGGGTGATACAGAAAATGATACAGAACAGTAAAACCTGTGAGAGGGCTGAATTGTTGAAAGAAGGTTGAAGGAATAAGAGAGTGGACATTTCACATGAAATCAAAGAACAAATACTAGAGTAAGGGAGTGAGTGGTAGAAAGATAGAGCATTAGGGCTTTGGAGTTTAAGATTTCAGAGGTGAGGCAATGGAGGAATTAATTTCTGAGGCAACATTAGAGTTCCATCTCTCTGATCTCCCAGAAAGACCTTGATGGTCAGCTGCAAGGAGTGCAGTTGGCTGACAGCCTCCAGCTGTTAGCACCTGTGGGATCTGCCTCAGCTGTTGAGTGGAGGCCACACTTTTCCTGGATAGCCCCATCCAATGACTAAGCGCAGCAGGCACCATGGGGCCCCACCATTCATTTCCCATACAGAACTTCCTAATCATCAGGCTCTACTCTAGCTCACCATTGGGTTGACTGAGACCTTGTCATATCTGTATTGTGGTCTAAGCCTTTCATTTCCAATCTGATTCCTTGCCCCTTTTATCTTTCACAGGTGTTAATCCTGCCCCCCCAAATAAACTTCTTGCATTCCTAACTCTGTTTTAGCATCTGCTTCCCAGAGAACTTAGTTGAAACAATTTGTGAAGAAAAAGACTTTAAAAAGTTGGGCTTTCATCTATTTGTTTTAAATAGTAAAGTTGAGGCTCTATAGAACATGATGAAAAGGTTTCTGAGGACAGAAACCAAGGATGAGTTACCAGGAAGGCAGCAGGTAGCAACATGAACTGAAACTATCCAATAGTATAGATAAATAATAGTCCTCAATAGTCCTGACTGGGCTGGACCTGGCAGCTGCCGCCCTAGTTAGAAAAGTTTGCCAACTTATAACCTATGAAACTTATTGACTTCATTGAGGTCAATGGCATTTTAATTAGTTACATAAGAGTAATTAATTGGTTACAACTTCACTACCCAAATAAGTTTAAAACATTAAGACAGTTTTTATAGTAATTTTCTTACTTCTAGGTAGTTGAAGAGAATACTTTCAATAACTCTTTTAACTTTGGCAGATTTTTGTTCCAAGAATTTTCACCATATTGCTTACACAATGCAAGTGCATAGGGATCCTTGGAACTTCAAATAGAGTTAACAGCACAGAAATGATCCCTAAAGTGATCTGGGCTAATTTCAGGATTGGACCTTTTTGCTAAAATTTCAATGGAGGTCTGGAATTTTGACAAGTATTATAATACATTCAGAAAACAACAC